ATTAAAAAAAAAAAAAAAAAAACAGCCAAGCCAAGCAAATCATCCATATCCCCATCTATATCTATAGCATCAACTCATCCTTTTCCCTTTCCTTTTTTTTTTTTTTTTTTTTTTTTTTCAAGCTCAGATTTTTGGGGCAGCATGCCATTCCTACTACCACTACAGTAGTAGGCTGTCAAATTTTCCTCTTTAAAATCGAGGTTTTCTACACACACACACACACACGAAAAAAAAAAAAAACTCTCCCCCCCCGAAAACTGGCTGGAGCCGCACTACTTTTATAAGGGACGTCGTGGACCCGTTTCCCGGCTTGAAAAATAAAATTATCTTTTGTTATTATTAAAAAAAAAATGCGAGAAATTTTTGGACCAAAAATTTAAATATTTAATCTATTGAAAAAATGAATAAGATCTCGTGCACCCTTCTACTCACTCAAGTAAATTCCATTTCATGCCCTTTTTTCTTTTTCTTTTTTTTTTCTTTTTTTTTCTTTTTTCAACTACCTACTTCGGATTCCTTTCCAGTCTCGATGACAACATCGGACGTCGGGTACGCGACACACGTCAGCACGTATCCCGACCCCAACTGACTGTCCGTCAAAAACGATTGGTCTCCTTGGTCCACCGTTCCCGCCAAAATTTTTCCCGCGCACGCGGAACACGCCCCAGATCTGCATGATGACGGCAAGATAAGCCCCAATTCCTCCGCTTTATCTAGAATATACTCATCGTCCATGCAATCAATGATCTTGTCCCCGTCGGGGGTTTTGAGGGTAACCTGGTAAACAGCGCATTGTGTGACGCTGGGCGACCTGCTCAGGCCGAAGGATCGGCCGGTATCGGGTCGCAGAGACGGACGAACGACAAGACGTCCCGGCTGTCGGGGTCCCAGTTCCCGGCGTACGGCTGCTCGCTGCTGTCCGACGTTGGCGAAGGCCGAGCACTTGACTGGGACCCAGACCAGATGTCCCGGCTGTCCGGGTCCCAGTCGACAGGAAGTGTCGCGCCGCCGTTGTGTTGCTGACGTGGCGGCAGATCCGGCGCCGCCCAAGATCGTGCCTGCTGAGCTGGCAGGTGCCGCTGCTGTTGCTGCTGCTGCTACTGATGCTGACGTGGACATCGCCATGCTGTGTGTAAATCCACACGTCAGAAATGTCAGCGAGTGAGTAGTTCTCTCCTCGCTTTCTCTCCTCTCTTTCTCCCCACTCTTTCTCTCCTCTTTTTCCCTCCTCTCTTTCTCTCCTCTCTCTCTCTCCTCTTCCCCCCTTAGATTGCTGCTGGCTGAAGTGTCCGACGCGCTGTTGTCGTCGATCCGCCGCCGCCGGCGCAGTTCCGCGCAAACTTGTCCCCCCGCGAAGTTGTGGCCCTAGTCGCGCCAATTTGTCCCCTTCCGCGCAGAAACCAACCTCCCCCTCCCCCTCCCCCCCTTTCGCCGGCTAAGGTCTCCTCCTACTCTCCGACTCGACTGTCTTGACGAGGCGAACTTGCGCAAACGGAAAGGTTTTTAACTGCCTCGCGTGAGCAGTAAATGTTTCTACCTGGTCCGGTTTATGCTCACGTTTCCCACAAAAAAAAAAAAAAAAAAAAAAAAATGCTCACGTAAGCAGGGAAAGCTATTTAAACCGCCAGTACCTGCCGCAGTTTTCGTAGCCCCGGACCTCAAATGAATTTGGACCAGATGGGCAGGCCGACTCGGTAGGTACTGATGGTTTAAGTGCCCCAGTAACTTCAATGCTTTCCCTGCCCCACTAAATGCCCCACGCTCACATGCGCAGGGAAAGCTATTTAAACCACCAGTACCTCGCTCAGTGTTCGGCCGCGGGCCTTCCCGTATACGCGCCGCGGCCTCAGGCTGGTCAGCCAAGGGAAGGCCCAGTCGTAGCGCCAAGCCCGGGCCCCGCTTCTGCAGGGACGACACACGATCAAAAGAGAAAGAGAAAAAAAAAATGAAATACACAAACGAAAAAAAAAAAACGGGAAAACAG